GGCTCTGAGCGGTCGGCACAGAGCCCGACGCGGGGCTCGAACTCGTGATCGCGGGGCACGATCTCAATGCCAGGAGCACCCGGCGCCCCCGCTGTGATCTCCAGACCCTGCCCGATGTCTCCGGGAAGGGTGCAAAGCCACCCTCGAATGAGAACCGCCGGGCTAGACCCAGAGGATCGAGATCATTAGAATGAAACCCATGCCCGGGACCTCAGTGGCCAGGGGAGAGGGAAGCCAGGTGGCAAAGGTTAAGGTCAGGGCCCCCGTTCTCTACGAACGGGCTTGTATTCAAAATATTAATTCCAAATCCTTAACCGGAACCCGTAATACCCTTTGACGTTATCCCTGCTTAAAATTAATCCCTAATCCAGGAGAACTTTACAGAATGACATCCCGGGCTGGAAATATATGCAGTGGAACTGTCACACAAGCCACCTCGGTGATACCCCGACTCCTCCAGAGGAGACCCATGGAGCGCTGAGTTTCTCCGTGCCAGCTTCACGGGATTCTATATGGTTTTCGGGCCAGCCCACACTGCTTTAAAAGCCACCTCCCCCCACCCCAAACTGTTGGAGACACCTGTCTTCACAACCCCATCCTCCGCAATTCCTCAGCCACCACCTGTCAGCTGGCACAGCCTTCTAAGCGACAAGTCACAGTTTCTTAGCCCGCGCGGGAGACGCTTCATGTCGTCCCTCGTTTGCCCTTCTCTGAAGCCCTCAGGGCGGCCGGCCCACGGCCAAGGCCAAAGGGCAGACTTGGGGGTGAAGTGGAGGGAATAGCTCAAGAGACAGGGTCTCTCAGGGGGGACAGGGCCACCTCCCCTCACCCTTGTCCCCCTGGTCCAGCCGGGTGCGGATCCTAGCTCCGCCCTCCCGCGGTGCTGTGACCTTGAGACCAGTCTCTTAGCCTTTCCGGGCCTCTCTGTTCCCATCTGTGAGATGGGGAGAATGGTCCCTTCCCTCCCTGGGTTGCTGTGAGGGGTTAAATGAGATAGTGCACGATAAGAGCTCAGCACAGTGCCCGGCACACACGATGCACTCGATCCACGACAGGTGTCGGTGTGGTAGCTGCTAGTAGTTGATTATTAAATCTGGGATGCCTGGTGGAGTCAGCGGGAAGACTGCTGTACGTAGAGCCGCTCTCTCTTCCAGGGTTGGGTGTCGCAGGCCCCCCTACGGCGTGAGAGCCTTGAGCGAGGAGACCTGCAAGGTCCTTCCAGCCAGCACACGGGGGGACATCTGCTTCGGGACCACAAGGAGGCTGGTGGGAAGGGGCCAGGCGGGGGCGCAGGGACTGAGGCCACAGGCCGGTGGCAGGACGCCGGAGCTGGGTGATGAACAGAGCTGCCCGGGCTCCCCTTCCTGTGTCCCAAGGACGTCATGGGGCCCTCCTTTCATGACGAGGACACAGCCTCTGAGACCTGAGGCCACTTGCCCAAGGAGCCTTGCTCTGCTCCAGCGGGTGACCACGTGGCCCCTTCCTGCAGCCGCGGGCCCACACAGAACAATCGAGGACGAAGCTTCCTCTCTGGGACCGGAAGGCTGCCTCCCCCCATCTGCTGGGCCCTGGCGGAGGCGAGGGTGGCGTGGGTGGGAGAGGGAAGTCCTTGTTTCCAGGCTTTGGGGCGGGAGGAAGTGAGGGGGACTGCCCAGCCCAAAGAGAGCTCCCCACGGACCGGCCCCAGCCAAGCGATGGCTCTAACCCTCACCTTCCGAGTGCCGAAAACAAAAGCTGGCTGCGCCCGGAGACGTGCGAGGAGGCACCCGACAGCCGTGGCAATCAGGGAAATAACAAATTAAATCCTGAGATCTTCTGTTCTTTGCTGATCGGCTCCGGGTAGAAATGCAGCTGATTCGGTGTTGGGGTTGGGGGGGAAATGGACCGCCTCACGGGCTGTTTGAGGGGGTACATACAGTCCAGGCAGCGTCTAGAAGGTGGGTCTGGCTGGCTCTGTTACAATTTCAAACCTACATGCCCTTCAGTGCTGTTCTACCTGTAGTTTGTCTTACAGGGACTTTGCGCACCTGGCCCGGGGCCTGGCATAGGGTAGGCGTACAAAAAACATCTGAACAACAACAAATTGCCTAATGTGTGAATGGAAGACCCAGGCCAGAAGGATGTATATATGAGGATGAAAACTCCAGCACTTGCAAAAAAAGATTTTTTTTTTTTTTTTTTTA